AGAATTAGCAATGTAAATAATAACATGAATTAATATTAAAACATTAGCACTCATATAAATCATTGTCTCCATTATAAACATGGTTGTGCCACTCCTACACATGTGTGTTAAGTGTATATATACATTATAGACATTTTCTGTGTGGCAGAGCGCAGCTAAGCATAATAGTGCACCCCAGTTAAGTTAATACAATGTTTCTTTTCCCACAGGGAGCCCAAGGYCATGAAATTTAACTAAATAACTAGCCAAAATTGTCATTTCATAATCATGTATAAAGATCTTTTTCCTTACTTACTTTGATAACTTAATGTTTGTTCAAAAATTTGACAAAGTATGAGGACATTTTGAACCATTTTCATTAATGTATCATAATCCTTCCCTAACCCCCCTCCCCCTCCCCTCCCCTCCCCTTTCCCAACCCCACAATTAGAGAACATGTCTTACGTCTAATAGCAGGGGAAACAACTATGACACAATGAATAGTTTTATACTTTGTCAGATATTAAAAGAAACAATAATTTTAAATTGAAAGTAAGCTTCATTAGTTTTGCTTCAAGCCTGTTAGTTGGTGAAGTTAGCAAGACTCTCTTGACCTTTTAATGATATAGGATTGATCCTTATGAATCCTTATCATGTTCCTATTTTCCTTMTACAGGTATTCTATAATTACAAAATTCCTAAAATGGAAGGCAGTACAGCTGCACCAGCATCACTGAGGGACTACAGAACGACATCGTCATTGAGTGAAGGATCTGATGTCTTCATAGACAGCAATTCATCACCAAAGCAGCACAGCRATAAAATTGATCAGACTGACTCYAGTGAAGAGCTTGAAGCCTGTCAGTTCTCTCGAAAACTTAACCTMAAGTCAGAGAGYGATACAGAAGTGAAAGCCAATGGTTCTGTTTCTGATTTGTCAGTGGGTCCATTGTGCGTGGTATGTAGTGATAAAGCCACTGGCTACCATTATGGTGTTTTTACATGTGAAGGCTGCAAAGGGTTTTTCAAGCGTACTGTCCAGAAGCAACTGGTGTATGCTTGCCGTAGCGATGGAAACTGTGAGATCAACATCATAACTCGTAATCGATGTCAATATTGTCGATTCCAGAAATGTATCGCACAAGGAATGCTTAAACTAGGTGAGATGCTACTTGTATGATTATTGAATCCGAGTTTGCGGATTTGCTTGTCCACACGTTTCCAGATTCAAATGCATCCRGATCGTTTATTTTATGGACAGAGTGTGCGTCCACAAAAAGGATTATTGTTGAGATAGTATATCATAAACTTTTAGGAGTAAGTAAGTTCGCGAGAAAAGAAGCTTTATTAATCTATCTATTGGATTTCAGCCGTACGACAAGACAGAGCACCAGGAGGACGACACAGACATGCTTCACTTCAAGACCACAAACAGAAGAAGCCCAGACTATCAAACAAGCCCAGCAAGAGTGCTTCTGTAGATGAACCARCACAAATCCAAAGTGACGATCAGTTTATCGAAGAGTCAGAGACGGCGAGTGACTACTTGGAGATCGTTGAACAAWTATCACAATATGTRTCTAAGGTTCCTGGTGACCCACAGCCAGACACMCAGCCCGATGGTGCCATGGTRACTGATTGTAATGAACAAAAAGACTTAGACGTTGGTCATCTTATGCAAAGTGCCTACCGAGAACTCTATGACGTCATTCTGTGGGGAAAGTCTGTACCAGGATTCAAGGATTTGAGTCTTGGTGATCAAATCACATTATTGAAGACTTCGTTCATGGATTTGAACGTATTTCGATTGGCCTACAGGTCCATCCCTTGYGATCCTCGGTCATTACGATTCAGTAGTTCCGTCATATGCGATGCTGAGGCATGTATTGAAATGGGATGGAGCAAAGATTTGACGGAAACTACGTTAGAGTTTTGTGGAAAGTTGAGAAATCTAAATATTGATGTTAATGAGTTTGGCTGTCTCTCTGCACTAGTTCTTCTAAGTCCTGGTAAGTTTTTGTGTTTTGTCTTTTCTCGTGTAGAATGTATGCCTGTTAGTCTTGTGTTTGCACGTTTGATTTACTCATTGTTTGTGGGGGGTTGTAAGAAACATTTGATTGATTTATTGATTGATGTATTGATTGTATTGTTGATGGATGGGTGCGGATGGTTGGTTGACTGTTTGATTGATTCGTTCATTGATTGATGCATTGATTGATTGATTGATTGATTGATGCATTGATTGATTGATTGATTAATTCATTGATTGATTGATTGATTCGTTCATTGATTGATTCGTTCATTGATTGATTGATTGATTGATTGATTCGTTCATTGATTGATGCATTGATTCGTTCATTGATTGATTGATTGATTGATTCGTTCATTGATTGATTGATTCGTTCATTGATTGATGCATTGATGCGTTGATTGATTGATTAATTCATTCATTCATTGATTGATTGATTCGTTCATTGATTGATTGATTCGTTCATTGATTGATTGATTCGTTCATTGATTGATTCGTTCATTGATTGATTCGTTCATTGATTGATGCATTGATTCGTTCATTGATTGATTGATTAATTCATTCATTCATTGATTGATTGATTCGTTCATTGATTGATTGATTCGTTCATTGATTGTTTGATTCCTTGATTGATTCGTTCATTGATTGATGCATTGATTGTTCTTTATGGATACAGATGCGCAAGGCTTGATGGATAAGGCAACAGTCTCCCAACTCCAGTCAAGAATTTCTTCATGTCTTCGTGACTATGAAATAAACCGATATCCTGACAAAGTGAATCGTTTGGGGAAACTACTTCTTTGTCTTCCTACCCTAAGAGCTTACAGCGAGAAGGCTCTTGAAAACTATGTGACTCTTGAATTTTTTGGGAAGATTGATATGCCGCCATTGGTCGCGGAACTTCTTGGGTAGCTTGTCTCCTCTACGTGCGACAACAACAGGAATAAGCGTTTGATGTGGGAGACCCAAAAGTATACAAAAAAACTTGATGTAAAATAATTCAAACAAGATGTAATATGTACGGGGTGAAATCCACGAGTTAGCCTGTCGAGGGAACGCCTTGCTCATCAAGAATACAAACAAGGAAATAAAGTATTTCAGTCGTTTAGTATCTTAGAGTTTGGACTTCTGTAACAACAGAAACGGACTACAAGCGAACGTTTGGATGTAGTAGTCTGAGGATTGACATAAACTTGGTTAGTACGCTGTTAGAGTATATGTATAATGTCTGGTCAATTAGCCTTATRAAGGTTCACAGCTTGYTGTTTAAAACGTCCCAAAATCAAATACTTGTCGTGTAAACTTGAAGCTTTGTAAAATATTCTTAATACACTAAAATCAAATGCCAAGAAGTACAAACGTTTTTTCTGTTCAAAAAGCGTACGCTATTTAGATTTTGCTCAAATTGGTCGACAGGGTATGGTGACGTAATTTACTCAGACCATTTGAAGACAATAAAACGATATAAGGCTAAAAATCAAATCTAGTCGAATAGTCATGAACGAAGAATAGACCTTTTACGTCATATTTAGTATACGCAATGTATTGTAGGATATTTTTGGATAAAARGTGGAGGATTGCTGGGAAACAGATCCCRCAATGCATTGCAAATCAAGTAAGTGACGTAAGGGTYWATTGGTGGACGCTGCCGTGATCACAATATATCCGAACTTTACCCTTCTGCTGAAACAAAATATTGTATGTGTTCTCATATACAAGACTATTGCTTCAAGTTTAAACAACGAGGTTCGGCTGATATAAGTGACACAGTAAAACAAATAAACAAGTTTAACTTCACAATTTCCGTACTGAAGTTATCCTTGTTTATTTATGTTTCATAGTGTATAGATGTTTAGGCGTAGCCATAGTAACTAGTGCTGGGTAATGGCTCTTCGCTTTAAATATTCTCTTGTTAGTAGGGAAATTACAAATTAAACMTTTTGTCTCAGGACTCATAAAAAACATAGCCATAGAAAGATAAGGATAGGATAAAGTAGAAAAGCTCGAAACATGGATTCTGTCATTTTATAAGGGTAGAGAATATGTTTTCAAGCTTATTAAATAGATTGTGGACGAGAAAAAAATATTAACTTGAAATAGAAATGGCGACTATAACGTCATGCAAATAATCGTTATTCTTCGTTCAAAGTTTTAGACACGTGACAATAGACCTGATCGGCTRATACGTTGCTAGGAGTAAATTTCATTTTAATTTTACAGCTGAATTCTTAGTAACAAAAGTTCTTTTTCCTAGAATTTTTAAAAATCTGGAGTTAGCTAACATGGCAACGCGTTGCCTCTTAGGTCTATAATCTTGTAAACTAATTAATCCTATATTAGGATTTCCACAGGGATCCCACTTTCGTTAGTTTGTTGAAGTTGAAAAGAAACCTATTAACGGTGGGTCATGCAATGAAAAAGATTACTTACAATATCCTTCGTACAGACAATATGTTCGGGACCCCTGTGTTACTGGCAGAAATACGTTAAATATTCATTAAACTGTTCTAAACCAATTGYTTGTTTCGGTTGTGTTTTTAAAGTGTATATGGGGTGGGAACTCCGGGGTAGAAGTACCTCTAAAAGATCCCGGAAGTCTTGAAAAAAGGGCGTGGCTGACTGATTTTTAGCCCTTAAGAGATTGCATAACAAATATTGTTAAATTAAATGAGTTCCAATGGTAAAAACGCAGAAATAATCAATATCGATGCRCCCTTTCTATTCTTTTCCGACACCTTAAGAGATTGCAGAAAATTCAAATTTCCAGAAACTCAAAAATTGGCTCCCTACTAAAGATTCTCAATCACGAATTTTTAGCCCTCAGTGATTTTTTAACTAGACGCTCCTAGAGCGCTTACTCGGGATGCATCACAATGAAGTTACGTGATAAATGACGTCACATTCTGTGATTGATAATAATTGATCTTTTTCAATTACAGAAAATGTATGTTGCTCTGTAAATTTTCCATCATTTTCCTTATATGAAATACTTTTTTAATAAAGTACACGTTTGGTGCAAACGTTTTTTCTAGAGAAAGAGAAAATGAGCTAAGCTTATCTCATTTTCACTTGAAATGTGTTTTATTTATAGAATTATTGTTAATCTCATAAGCAATAAGGCATTTTTAGCGGGTCCTTAAAGGGCTATTTCTAGTRCATCTATTCCAAAATAATGTAATATACTAAAGTATTTTGAAAGACCGAAATGCATCGGTGCTGTTTTACTCCACGTAACCAACGTTACAAAACTGATAGTTTTAAATCGGTGCTTTCCATCAAAGTAGATGGTATAGTCACTCTGAGAGTGAACAACCCTACGTTTATCTGCGATACGACATCTAACAATCTAGAACGATATATACACTATACAATGTAATGTTATTCACAGCACTCAACGTTCACTGAATAACCTGGAAAATAATGAAAAACTTTACAGTTGCCAGAATAAGTTGGTTTTCATCCAGAWTTTAATCTTAAAACAAATATTAAGATGTGGTAAAGCATGCCATAAAACACAGCGGTATGGACTTGAATGTGAGAAATGAAATTGACAGGATCAAGAATTGTCCAGAATGATATCCATCAAATTATTCTTTGCTCGGTCTGACGTAGAAAGAAGTATRTGATAAGAGCCATGCTGATAAAAAACCCACTCTTAGGACGTCGAGTACTAAATAATGCATTACAAACATGAATATACATACTCAATTTAGTCAAGTTATAATTATTTTTAAATTTTTCTGTTACGACGATGAAACAAAAACAACAACACCCACTCATATTCGTATTCTCGTATTCGGGAATTCTTTTTCACAAATGATAAAATTATTTTCAGTGTTGATGCCTTATCAATTAACTGTTAAAACCAAAATTCAATATAATCACTTTCAGCCCTCACTAATGACCAATATAGATTGGTTTCACCTGGTTATATACCAACTGTTTGATTGACCTTTCTGTAAACCACTTCTGAAAACAGGAGAGTCATTATAAGAAGGTTTTATAAACAATACAAATGAATAGATGTATTTTGAAATACCCGTGAAGTCTATAAACAGTTGTAAATGAGTTCAGTGCGGCAGATGGTAAAACTGGCAATCACCTGTGATCAGTGAGTGGGATGAATGGACATACTTGAGTATAAATCACTGGGCTCAAGAAGGCYATAGACTTCTCATATCACTTTACCTGGCAGTCAAGAGACCGTTATTATTGGAAAGTCACGTCCAATTAGTAAARTCATGAAGATACTTCTTTGGACGGCACCGCGTTGTGTTTCTACAGCTTTTGAGAGAGCAATCATGACTCTCAGCAATACCAAAGTGTTTCACGAGCCTTACAGCAATGCTTATTATTTTGGCCCAGAAAGGCAGAGTCTACGTTACGCTTCCACACCCGTCAACCCGAAGGAAACCTATCGTCACGTCAAAACTGTCCTATGTAAGGACTACGATGGAATTGACGTCGTTTTCTCGAAAGACATGGCGTACTGTATTGAAAATAAGTTTGATCATTTCCTTGATGAAGAATTCAAGGACACTAAACACACTTTCTTGATTCGAGATCCGAGTAAAGCAGTGCCATCCCTAYAYCATGCTTCAACCAACCCAAAGCTGACAGGATGGGACTATTTTGATCCTGAAGAATCTGGATTTCGTCAAATGTATGAGTTCTATAAATTTGTGACGGAGAATATAGACCCCTGTCCACTTGTAGTGGATGCTGACGATCTTCTTGATCAACCTGACGAGATGATGAAGAGTTACTGCGATGCTGTTGGYATCACCTACGARTCTCATATGACAACATGGGAACCAGGTCCCGTACCAGACTGGGATGTTTGGTCAGGATGGCATGAAAACGCCTTGAAAAGCTCAGGATTTGCCCCACGAAAGAACAAGAAATCTGAAAAGAAACCGGTACTGGATCTTCCTGAAGAGGTGATGAAAGCCATTGAAGTAGCAGACCCTCATTACAAGTACTTGGCTTCCAAGAGGATTCGTCCCGCACTCTTAACGACGGCTTGTGGTAGCACTTGAACATTCGTTAAATTAACAAAGCCTTTCTTTACGAGAAAATAAGATCAATTTTAAATAAGAACATTGAACGGCATACCTTTCGCTGAACACAAAGGCATTWAATTTGTTTTATATATAGAATGTTTTCTTATTAATAGGAATTTAACCGTCATCAAACTCTTTGTTTTCATGTTTTTGAAAATTACGCATTCAAGTCCAATCATAAATATAGCAAAAACCTTAACAACTTATATAAATMATTTGATTTTCATTTATGTATTTCAAACATTAAAAATTCAATTCATCAACTTCTCATGCAAATTGTTTGGCGATTGTTTTGTAATGAATAATTTAACACGTGATCACTGAGTCATTTCTTCACATTGAAATGGTTTACAGGGCGTTGCCAGGTTTTTCTTTCACATAGCATTTCTGATTCATGCCTGCATCTTAACTCCGTTATTTGAAAYGAAATGTACATCCTTTTTGCGGCAGAGAATTCAAAATTCTAATTTGTGTGGTATTGATCAAAGACAGCCATTTTAACATTTGAATCATTGATGAAGGATAATTAGGGTTCACAGCAAGCCAGGTAAAAACTCATTAGGAACTCAAGTGAGTTCTACTATACGTCAAACAAGTTTTAATACAAAAAAAGAAAATGACCATAACATCAATACACACGTAATTGAAATGTTTTTGTTRTTGTCTTCGTCCCTCAAAACCTGACTTTTGCATTTCCCAATTATCTTAGATTCATGTTTATTCTTCAATTTCTTTTTCATATTTATCGTCATCTTGCCGTATATATATTTCATTTTCTCATTTCAAGCCGTCGAGAGATTAATTATCATTGCTTGACAAGAGGAGGTCCTCTGAGATCAACAGTCATCTGCAGTCTTTTTGTATYTTTTTCTCATTTAACTTTCAATTCATCGCAATGTTTCTTCGTTTTTTTCTTCTTTTAAGTCTTTTGCTATCGTTTTCCCTTCTCTCTCATTCGCAAATTTCACTGGCTCTCGATGCGGTTCTTTTCTTCGCTCCTTTTTCTATATTTCTCTTCTCTTTCAATTAAATTTCCTTTGTATTTCAAAAATAGTTTTTTCACTGAGTACGACAATATACCAATCTAATACCACAGGGTGACCACAAAACTGAATGAATCGAATTGTTGTTTAGTGGATAGGAATTCACGAACGATCACTCCTGCAGACTCTTTTATTTTAGTAAGTAAATTCGTTTCTCACGATTTCTTCGCGACGTGTGACCAAACAGTGCCGTGCGGTTTGATGAAAGGTGATCTACATCATCTTCGTGTGTTATATGTAACAAGAACTAATAATATGAATTTCAATAATTGAACAGCAGTGACGTTCCTAACCATAAACAAATTAATATAAGATGCTCGCTTTTTGGAAGATTTTGTTGTTTACTAGAATGTGAAGGTTTYGACAAATGGAGTACCATTTCGGTTCCCTTCCACTTTTCTTTCACCGATAAGCGCATCAAAACAAGACTTGTAACGTGTAATGCTAACGTGTAATGCTATTCCAACTTGTCTTTCTTTTGCTCTGTCTCAGTTAACCATTTTAACGCAAAACTGAATGACACCATTTTTGAACTGCTTTCAAATTGGATGGATATTGGTTTTGTGCGTGTAAGAGATCGTTTTTATAAGATATATGCTGCACATTACCTAAGTAGGATATTTGTCACAGGAATATTGTAAAGTCTACCGAGGTAAACGCTTAATATTTTTCTTTTGAATAACGCCTTTACATATATCAAAAGATGTATTTTTAAGATTTTGTAGAAATAAAGCAACATTATGCTGCATTAATTAAGATTTAAAAAGTCGTTTCATTATGGACCAGTTTAGTAGTAAACAAAGTATTTTTCTGGTCCTTAATGAGCGATTGATCTCATTATAAAAAGGAATGTAATATCAACCTCTAATGATGTGTTTTCTTGTCTTAAAAGAAAATCGGTCGCAATAGTTGAAGATATAAAAACACTTTTTATTCATTGGCGTTCATTGGTTGATTCTTAATCTTCCYCTAATAGATGGGAATGAAACAAATTCACTTCTAGAGTTATAAGTTTAAAAGTATTTTGAACGCCTTATTTTGTTTATATGATTGTATATCCTTTTCAGCAACCATAATTAATAGTTTTTACCACCTGGACGGCGGACGCAAAGAAAGTGACTTTTAAAGGGGTTTATAACCTTGTTATGGCTTGCATTTAGAAATCTCTTGGAAATGTTTGGACTCGAAGGAATGCATATAATAACAAACTATTACCACGGATTTATTGTTGTAGTTTCCTTTATTCTTCCGTGTAAGATGAGTGCCACTCAAGCGCTTTCTCCGTCACGGAGTACACTCACTAAATGTCTTGGCTGCACTATGATCAAATCTACAGATCCTTTTCCCCAAATGGCGCGGGTACTCATATCAATTTTGACGTCCATTACTTTGCTCATCAAGCAAAAATAAATCGAAATGCAAAAAATATGATCAATTTTAAATTATTTGTTACAATGACCAACTCCGATTGACAATTGTAACATGTTATTGAGAGAAAGGAGTTCATCTTATACGAAAGCTAGCATGCGCTCAAAACAATGAAGCGCGCAGCAAGAAGAACCAACGATCTCTGTCTGTTGAAATGATTAGCAAACTCCGTGTATCTGCTTTACATTTAATCACTACTGACACAGTCATCGATGATGTAATGATGACGTACAAGACGTTACTCGTCTGTAGCTGAACCGAAAGAGAGGCTAATTGAAATATTAAAACAAGCAGACGTTAGCCCTGGTAATGACTTGCCTTGACGACCCACCAAGTTCACGACAGAAATATTAAGAAAGTCGAAATGACATGAGGTAGCACACACTCTACAAGCACTCAATCCAAGATGTCTGGTGAACCGGTTTACATTCTTCGCGCGACAGCCATCGTTGGCTGTGCGATTTCGCTGTTTTTCTGTTTTCTTTCAATGGTTGCTTTTCTCTGGTTCAGGTAAGTAAATGATCAGGAAACAATGAACATGACATGATAAGGCTGTTTGAGCATTTGTGAATACACCGTGTTTTAGTTAAATATCTCAGAATTRAGGATAAAACCGTTGCATTCCTAATTCGTGTTTTATTTTAACTCGATGTATAAAATAAATATGTATAAAAAGACTTTTACATCTTGATAACACATGAAAACAAAACTTAAAGCAAGCGTTTGACATTCGGATTTATAACTGCATTTGAACTTGCGTTTGAAAGGACGCAGCGAGTCCTCCGGTTCACTGTCTAAGTACTAGCTTCCTCAATTCAATCTTCCTATCTCTTCGCTCCGGAGACAAATTCAAGAACCACAATTTCTTTGTGCGACCGAATAATCAAATTTTTCGAGCGACAACGAACAAGTTATCTAACCATGATTATCAAAGTTGGGAATCAGATTTTGACAGGCTAAAGAAAACTAATATTCCTCAAGCTGGTTTCACTAAAAAAGTGACAGAATAATGATGTTTCGGCTTTGCATACAGAGTTACTGGTGAGTTACTGGTAATATTTAGACATTTCTAAATATTACTTATTCACAATTATTTCTAGAAAATTGAGCGGCAAATTTTGGTCTTTGGGTTGCCGTGACAGCAATTTTTTTCTGACAATTAATGCTACATAAAATTGTAGAACTTGTTTATTGCTAATGTATTTTCCTATCACCCGATGAAACCCTTTAGATCTGTTTATTTATTTTTATTGATTTTTTATCTTTTTTGCTGGCCATAAAAAACAAACTATTTTTTATCTAATTTCGACATGCAAAACCTCTTTGGTCATATATACGTTGCTGAAAAAGACTCATCAAATTGTCGTTGTACATTTTCGGTGAGTTTGTTCGCGCAAAAGATGTAATTCAGGAAATGGCGCTGTCGTATTCCCGACTTTGACAGACACACTGTGTTAATTGAACCACATTTGATGTGCATAAATCAATGAATGGTCGTTTTTTTGACTACTTTGTCATTTGTCTCCTATACTGCTATATACAACATCCTMTTTTTTCAAATTCACCCATATAGGAATTGAAAGGATAGAAATATGTTGAAAAGACTTAATTTATAAAAATTAAATTGAATTAMCAAGCCCTACCAACGGCTGATGAATTTTTAACGGGACTCCTCTCGCGATTCTGGTAAACGGCTTATCTCGGTTAAGATGAGTTTAGTTGTTTTTTACTGCAAGTCTTTGTTAGTTTGATATGTGGTATGAAACAAGAAGCCCACATCTAATTAAGCTGTTGATTATTAAATCTATGAATGTAATGGGGGGTAATGGCTGTCCTCGASCTTAAAGATTTTTTGTTGCGATTTCCTTGGTAATTGATACTGGAATGACAGTATTCCTAAAAACACAGACGACAACCTCTTCAATCCAGTAAGCTGATATTATAATTGCAAGTTAATCTGGTTGTACTACTAGTGGCTTTATGTTAGTGTCATTCYACCATTTGATTTGCTTTTCATTTATTTCAAGTTTCATTCAGTTTCACGTTTTAGACCTCCAGTAGTATGTTTGTTTTCTCTAAATCAATTATTTTATTGGATTTGTTTCTTGTCGATATTAGTGCACTAAGCATCATGAATATTCATCCTGGCTGCTAATCGTTGGCTTAGCAAAAAAGGCGCTCTTATTTATGTTAAATTTATCAGAATACAACGTCAAACGTCTATGGAGTTTACAGTTATTTTATGCACAGACTCATTGTGTTAGACTGTAARTTATACAGACGTAAACTTAGCGGCGAATAAGACGGTGCATGAGCAGCTGTTAGTTTAAGCCTTTCTAAAGCGGCAAGAGATATATCTTTTCAATTCATTAAAACCTTCATATATTCGCTGTTGGTGCCTGTTCATATGCAAATAAGTCGGTAAAAATGTGATTCAGAATCGCTTGCTCTTTARATACTGAAGGCATATAACATGTATATAAAAATATAGATATTTGTGCGCCAATTTTTCGTCAGGATTGAGCCCCTTTCTCTGATCATCAGCCTCTAAAGTACGTTTCCTCTGCGCATGATTCGAATTTGAAAATATACAATAAAAATATGATTATATGAAGTATGGATATTTATCGTGATTGGATTGAGGTTTGCACGCTGTAGTGGGTTTCCGAWGTCTGCGTGACRGTAGAAGGGTAGAGCCTACCGAAAAGAAGAACAATCATTGTGTATAATCGCATTATTCTTCACCAGTTACTTCAGCCTGAAGGTATCAGATGCATTAAAGCTGTGTTAAACACAARCTTATTGTATGCGTAATTCGGTCAAAAAAGGCTTTTTTTCCTATATTCTGTTGTACTGTTAAAAAAAGTCTGAATTTATTTATTAATGAATGAAATTGCAGTAATTCAKTAAACATTGAATATTCCTTTTCTTTTCTTGTTGTCTTTTTCGACTATTTTCAAGTATCTATCATGGATGTAGCTGATTTCTTGTTCTTGTAACCCATGTCCCAACACACACAACTCCTGGAATCTACTATCTGGTATCCTGGACAGAGTAGAATGTAAATTATGGTCCAGAAGAAAAGCTCTGCCCGCGTGGTAAGGTACTAATCCTATGCTTTTTGCCACCAGACCAAAGTAAGCATCTTCCACTTGAAATTTTTTAAACTTTTGTGAGTTATCAAACAGYTTTTTCAACACATTTCCAGAGAACACGTAAAAAGGCCCTGCACAATAATTCGGGAAATGTGAGCCAGGGAACTGTGCACGACTTACAAACCATCGTGACCCATGATCTCTATATACATATCCTCTGTAATGGATGAATCCTGCATACAATTTACGCGGAAGTTTTGGGTTTTGAAGCCAACTGATAAACTTAGGTACATTAACATACACATCGTCATCGGCTTTGAGGACATATTTAGGTCGMACACTTAAGGCCCATCCAAACGAGCCCCATATTTTATCGACTAGTGTTCTATATGTTTCTTTTGAGTCCACTCGGATAATGTCCCCGAATTTATAGAACTCAGTTTCAACATGATGATCTAAATGWACATCATTTGCGAATCCCATGGTAAATACACAATATACATTTTTGTTTGATGATGCTGTATTGGTTGATTTACTAGCTTTACCACTGCGTTTGCTACTAATAGTTCCTGCCCAAGTTTTACGAATTAGGTTTCGTCTGGACGATGATTTTGGATGAGTTGTTATTAATATTAGCAAAAATACTTGTTCTCGAATTTGAGGAGCAAAAGGCTTGTCTCTGACATCTCCATTGGTCAGATAAGATGGTGGCGGAAGAATGTCAAATGGCTCAGACAATACCGACGTAAACCATTCTTTCACATCCGACACAGTCTCACCAATTGTTGATAAAAACCCTTCGCCGTTTGAACTTTCGGTGTCTGTTGTCTGTTTACTTGAAAATTCGAAGTTATACTTGGACGAGTTAGCCCATCGTCTTCTGCTGTAGTTTATAAAATTGCTAATTCTATCTACTGCATCAAAGTGGTAAAAAGTTAAYACAGCCAACTGAGAGACTACAAACAAGAGAAATAGCGCAAGTTTTGAATCCATGGCTGACTGTATTATCGATAAAACGATTCATGATGGCCGATGACTTTCCTTAGTTTCAAATATGGCCGCTCCACGAGTGATCATTCACGCGACAAGTGCCCAATCATTGCATATTCATGAGACTCTTCCAAACAATAGGCTCAAAATGTCAAACAATAATACTGCAGCAAATGAAAACAGTTTATTCGGCCTACGCATAAGGTTCTTTTCCAGATAATATATATGATCTATTATATTTTCTTCTGTTTTATTTTCAAAACGTCGATACAATGATATCCATATTCACATACACACAGCATTTTTTTTT